AAAAAAAAAAAAAAAAAGAATCAGACCCCAGGCCTTAATCTCAACAGAGAGAAATATTTTGAGTATATACTGGTATTTTCTACCTTAGAAATAAATTCTTCATTTACTTTCTTGAAGCCATCTTTTATTATGAATCTCAAAATACAAATATTGGAACAAAGAAAGATTCCAAATACAGTTTATTCAGAGCATATTTATTGAGTGCATTTTACACATCAGGTACTATATAACATTGACTCCTGCTCATAAGGAACTCAATATTGAAGAGAAAACAAACATGCAAAGAGAAGAATATTATGGGAGACATGAATGTGTTTCAGTTATGAACAAAAGGACGAGGCAGAAAATATGGACAGGAATCAGATGGAGAAAGACTTTGTATGGTAGGCTAACAAGTTTGGAGAGAAACCCTGTAAGCAGAGAAATAAAAACTTCATTTTCATTTAAGTGTGATTGACACATCAGGAATGTAGAACTTGTTTGAAACAGACAAGAGCTGTACATAGGACCCCCAGTCCAGAGATTGGAGAAATCTTCCACGAGATCCTGAACCAAGATCATAATAGCAGAGCTACAGATAAGGATATGAGATTGAATGATACTGCAGAGATAGAATTAAGAGGACTTGATGACCAAGTGGGCATAAGGACAGAAAAATAGACAGCACAATAGTTAAGAGCTTAGTTTTTTAGCCAGACAGTTTCAGCTCCAGTCCTACCACTTACTAGATATAATACCCTGAGAAAGAGAAAAACTCTGCCAAATTTTCAAAGAATACTACCGCCCCCCATAGAGGTGTTGTGAAGATTGAATGTTAATACTTAGAATTAAGAGAATGTCTGTTCTATACTAAGCCTTCAATAAATATCATCTAAAGCTCTTAGTTTTCTGTGTTGTGCAATTGAGTGAATGGTGGTCTCATTTAAAGAGAAAAAAAGTTGAAAAGAAGAATCAGGTTCCTATTACGTGTGTGCATATGGGAGCATTAATGAGTTTTTCTTGAGTCTCTATTGAAAATCCCAATGGATATCATTAAGAGGCAGCTAAAAAACATGCATATGGAGTTCAGAAAAGTTAACTAGGTAGGATAGATCAATTTTATGGTTAACATTGTATAAATAGTAGTTGAAACCATGAAAGTAGATAAAATAATCCAAGAAAATATATGGAAGGAGAAAAGAAAGGTCCAATTTGGAAGTATAGAGGATACCAACTTTAGTCTATTGTCACAAAGGTGCTGTTGAAGGGTGACAGCATAGGATAGACAGTGGGGTAGGCAGAATTCTAAGATGGCCCCCAAGATTCCCACCCCCTGGCATATATACACACCTTCCTCTAATTATTCAATCAAATACTAATGTAGGTGGTGCTGTCAAATAATTTATATAAACCTTCTTGAGTTTTTAAAAATTATTAATATACTATTTCTTAGAGCAGTTTTAGGTTCACCAAAAAAAAATGAACAGAAAGCACAGGGTTCCCATATTCTCCCACTTCCCTAGTCCACAGTTTATCCTATAATTAACATTTTGCACTGGTGTTGTACATTTTTTATTATTGATAAACTAATATTGTTAGACTATTATTAACTAAAATCCATAGTTTGCATTAGAGTTCACTCTTTTCATTATATAGTTCTATAAGTTTTGCTAAATAAAATAATGTAATGTATCCATCATTATAGTATCATACAAAATAATTTCACTGCTCTAAAAATTCCCTGTGCTGCATCTATTTCCCCCTCTTCCCACCCCTCCCTACTCCTAGCCACCACTGATCTTTTCACAGCTTCAAGAGTTTTGCCTTTTCCAGAATATCATACAATTGGCATAATATAGCATGTAGCTTTTTCAGACAGGCTTCTTTGCTTAACAATATGCATTTCAGTTTCTTCTCTATTTTTTTTTTTTGGTAGCTACATAGTTCATTTCTTTTTATTTCTGAATAATATTCTGTTGTTTGGTTGTTTATCCATTCACCTATTGAAGGACATATTGGTTGCTTCTAATTTTTGGCAATTGTGAATAAAGCTGCTACAAACATTCATGTGAAGATTTTTTGTGTGGATATGAGTTTTCAGCTCATTTGGTTAAATACCTAGGAGTGTAATTTCTGGATTATATGATAAAATTATGATTAGCTTTGTAAGAAACTGTTAAATTGTCTTACAAGGTGGTTTTACCATAGAATATTTTTTTAAAATAAGAGACTTAGACATATTTACAGATCAGAATTGGAGAATCATTAAAGAAGGGAATGTTGATAATAATTGAAAGAGGGGGTAATTAAAGAACAAGGTTCTGAAAAAGACTGTATCTAGTGTACAGATGAATTGACCATCTTGGGTAGTAGAATAATTCCTATGATGGGAGATTAAAAAGGAGTAATGGTAGAGGCCAAGTTACAGGAAAAGAAAGAGGATAAGAATATAAGAGAGTTGAGGCTTGATGTCCCATGTAAGCTGTGAAGTTATTGGTAAGGTTATTTTTTAAGAGTGATATTTGATGGGGGAGGAGTTGGGCATTTGTCAAAGAGTAATAATGGCAGATAAATTATATTGAATACTTGTTATATGTCAAGGTCTATTTTAAGTGCACCAATCAATTGATTTTTTAAAAATCAACATTTAAAGAAGAGATAACCAAGACACAGAAAGTTTACGTAACCTGCTTGAGGTTCCACAGTAAATGATGAAGAAAATTGTGAAGTCTGCTTAAAAGTTCTGCCCCAACTTTCTACTATAGTGCTGAATATTGTGTAGTTATGAGGGTTTAGAAGAAGTGCTATGAGTCATGTTAATAAAAGCTGCTCAAGGGCACAGGGAAGATTTGCTCTGTTGATGGCAGAAGATGAAGAAGAGCTAATTTCCTTTCCTGTTCTCAAATGAGGAAATGAGTCATTTGGAGGGGGAAGAAATCTATAATAAGCACTGTTAAGATTAGTTTTCAAACTAATATTTTAGTGGAGAATCAATATTACCATTGTGGTTTGCTTCTCCTAGACCCACTGAAAACCCTCAAATATTTTATCTTTTGGGAAAAATCTATCCTCTCTAAAAGTTTTATCTACACTGCCTTTTTTCATGCATTTATTTTTCAATTTAGGTGAACACGGTTGGAGGAAAGTTAAGAACTGAGTTCATCTGGTCACTTACATCACCACAGTCGATAAATTAGCTCCATTGTAATCACTGAATGTTATTACCATCTCACAGTACGAGACATTGGATTGGATGTGAAGCTTTCCCAAAGATGGTACCCAGTAATGGGGTGGCCTTGAACCAGAAGAGACAACCGGTTACTGGACCTTAGGAAGCATGTGAAAGGAAATTGGAAGATTCGGACAAATGTAGCTAAATGTCTGTCAGCCCTGAAGTTTATCCTCTTTAAGGTAAGGGTGCATTTGATAGTGGCCAGATGCCAAGTTGCCAGATGTGTATAAAAATAAACATTCTTGGCAGATAGGCTGTGCAGAGGAGAACTGTCTGGGTTTTGGAAAAAAATGCTGCAGTGAGTGAATCTAGAATGTTGTGTAAGCACATGATAGCTATTAATAGTAATAATATAAATAGTCATATTAATTCATACAGTT